AGCTTATTAATGGACTAAATGACGACAACAAACAAAACGGTGAATCAGATGAAGATAACAAAGATGACAATCTCAAGATGGGATCAGATGATGGTAATAAAGATGGCGAACTCAAGAACTCGTCAGATAATAAACTGAAGAGTGGATCAGATGATGAACTCAGATCAGCATCTGATCCAAAGTGTGACAAAGACAGTGATAGTAGTGACGAAACAAACAACTCAGAAGAAAGTGAAAGCGGCACTGAAGACAGTGGATCCGTTGATGGTGATGATGATGACAATAAATCACTGGATAGTGATGAATAAATTATTAAATATACAGTAATTATTTGAACATGATAACAATTAATTGGATGCTAAAACTCAATGAATGACTGCTCATGAATGAGATTAAATCAATGTAATTATTAACTAAATTTACTAATTATTAATTAACTATTTAACTATTATTTCATTTATAAGTTATCATGTCTATACAAAATTATGAGTTACAGCTCAATAAACAAAATTCATACACAAATCGCAAGTTTTTAATTAAATTTTATAAATAATAAAATGTTATAATGTATTAACAAGCATTTTATGTATCCAGATTCAACATAAATTAAACTTATCCTTATAAGTTACTGTAACCACAGAATGAAATAGTCTACATACAATATTGTTTTACACAGAGGTATTCAAATCGCACATTACTTAACTTGTTTAGCGCTATATTGTTTTTCCTAAATATGCCGACAATACAAAAAAAATATAAAACAAAAAATATTTATTTGTTTATTGTTTTTACACAAACTTAAAAATAGATTAGGATTTAAGGCAAAACATCAAAGATGTGTTAAAAATTGACTTTAATTATAAACCAATGGTCCACTGGATATCATCCCAACAGGTCTGGCATTTTGCACTAAACAGAGTGCCGGTGCTTTCAATATGATCATAATGGCCCAATACCACATCGTACATATCACCAACTTTTAAATTTACAATAAATGTGTCCAGGTGCTCGTGGCCTAGTCGTACAAAAACATCTCGATCGCTGTATTTCATGGTAAACGTAATACAATAGTCAATCACTCGCCAGTTGTTTAAAGACATGTCGGTATTAAACGCTTGATTAATGAGACTTAGCGAGTGATCACCAAAACCAAGGGTCACAAAATCGAGGGTACTTTTCACGGAATTTGTAACGTGTTTAATGGCCACCCCTTTCACCAGCGCCAGCGCCTGAAGGCTGTGCCGCTCGGCTATGGCCAGGCATTCAATTTGTGCGGTTATGTTGTGTTTATCGTAAGCTGATTGGCAACGATCGTGGTATTTCTCGTACGAGTAGGTGTTTTGCGATAAAAAGTGATGTTGGTTATTATCGTGTGAAATAATGTGCACCAACAATAGGCTGCTGAGAATTGCCACTAAACTGACCCGGCGCACACTCGCTGTCGTTAGTTTTTCTATGTAAGTCTGTATCACATATAGTAGTATAATATTCATAAAGAATATTCTGGTGTTTCCCAAAAACATCAGAGATTTACTATTGGTTTGAGTAAAGTGTGTGAAAAAGTCAATGAAAAACAGTGAATATACTATGAGTTTGAACGTTAAATGCAATTTTCTAACTAGTTTAAGTGCTAATATGGCTGAGATTACCCCGATTATAATGTAATAATTATATAAATAGCTGTTTAACACAGTATTAATGGCACTCGTCGAGTGGTCAGAGTAGTAGATAAGGCAATGTGTAATCAGATTAGGCACTAATACCAGATTAAATGACCCGGAGCTGAGTATTGGCCTCGTGGTGATTATAATTACAATAAGGCTCACTATTATCGTGTAATTCGTCCAGTAATGGCTTATATACGGGAAATACGAGTTTAATTCACGCATAAAATTGTGGCACATGTAGTGAAATATAACCAAAAATATTTGCATTAAGTTTGAATTATAACGAATTAACGCCATAAATGATAATAAACACATGGATTGCCTTATTATACCGTTGTGTACACTATAGGGCTCGGGTTCACTACTGGAGCCGGTAGTAGTGGTGGTGAATAGTGTACAAAAACTTATGTCAATCGCTAAACACGAGGCAAACACTGTTAACCATAGCGCCGATGACCGCCATCTGAAGTACTTCCGGCGGTGATTATCATCATCGGTGGTGTAGTTGGCGTCAAACGCGCGCAACACTCGTTGCCATAGTCTGTAATTATGGTAATTAATCACTCGTCGCATATAGTGTACAAACGAAAGCACTTCCAGCACTTGTACGGACAGGTGTAGGGTATGGAGGGATCGGCCCTTTTTGGCCATCACTCTAGCGTTTGGCCGGAAAAACACACAATTAAAGCCAATATTAACGCAAAACACGAGTAATAATGAGATTACGAGCCGAGCGGTGACCAAATTAAACCCATGTCTTAAGCTGTTGAACGCCGTATAAAACAGGTGTCGCTTACCGTCGCCGCCGGCGACCAACTCTTCCTCATCGGACAGATCAATGTCCGGACTGTTGGCGTTCAACACTTGCCGGACATTCAGCGACAGGACTTTCTTGTCAATGACGGCGGCAGTGGTGGACAACAGGCGGTTATTATTGCCAGACTTCACACCATTGGCCACCGAAGACATAGACGACCGGCGAAACACGAATTGGTAGAGTCGGCGCCGGAACTGTTCGCCATTGTTGACCATTCCGTTGGGATAATGATCTTCACCGCCGCCGCCGACACATGTGATGATAGTTTCGGCGATTGTCTCGCACCGAATGTCCAGTTCCGTACGGGACAGACAGCCGAGCACTCGCGTCCGGTTCTTATCGCTAATACCCTGATTGTGTCGGTAACAGCTCTCGAGCAGATCTATGGCCACTTTGTTGCCGCCATTAGTGGCCGCTTCTAGCAGCCACCCGATGGCCAGTTCACGTTTGAGTTGCTTGTGATCATCATCACCACCGGTGATGTCCGCACCCAACACCTCGTTGTCCACATCCCGGCGCAACGACTCGTCCAGCAGTTTGACTGCCAGATAGACCTGACTGTCACCGCAGCCCTCTTCGGCTAAATACCGGTGAAGTGAAAACATTTCCAACGGTTTGTTCACTAAAAAAAATATTTATTATTTTTATATTGATTTTATTTATATATTTTTAAACTTGTTTGAGAGAGAGAGAGAGAGAGAGAGAGAGAGAGAGAGAGAG